AAAATTTAATGATCTGGAAAACTTGCATTTAAAGATTACCATGAACTTGTAACGATTGGCTATGTTTCTATGAGGTCAGTATTAGCTCAGTAATCACCTTTGTTTTGTTACTCTGTCTTTGTGTAGTCTATTACACGTGCCATTGCTGCATGGAATTCACTGAAGTACAGAACACTTGAACAGATTCTCTGTACCTCCTGGGTGCTGAACTAGACTGCACTCTCTACAGCATCTGCAACACCTTAGAGCCAGCAGAATGTTTACAATATACTACTCTCCTGTGGCCTATTTGAGAATTGTTCCTTACTCCAGTTTCATAACCAAACACCTGCCCTTTTTCTGACATTTTAAATATATTGTATTATATTGATTGCATGCCTACTTGTTTTTAGTAGAAAATTAAAGCTCCATTTTATTAAAAAATGAAGCTGATTTTTGATTTAAAATGAGAGGGGAGAATGAGAATCCCAGAATTCTGAGTGCAATATAATCACCTTAACAAAATTATTTTTTGGAGTGATTGTTTACAATATATATTATATGTGCAGATGATAAAGATTCTTTTAGAGATTAGAACAGCTTTTTAGCTGCTTTATTGTTATAAGTATATTAAGAATATTTGTTAAATCATCACAGAGTAAAATGTCTCCTTTTATACAAGGAAAATAAAACCAGTGTCATCCTTAAATGACAAGGAAAAAGTGGTAATTTGTGTACAAGATTTTATAATTATCTTTTTATATATATTGATTGTTTAAGTGATGCTCTCGGGTAATACTTCAATCTCAATGAGCAGATATGTGAAACTCCAGAACTGTTTTGCTGGGTCTGCTACCAGTGTAGACTGGGTCCTTGTAATAATTCTACAGAAAGCATTTTAACTGCATTTTGTCTTTTCTAATTGTATTTTGCTGTTAGGTGGTCACAATCTAAATGTTTATTTGAAACGTGGTAAATAAGAATTGCTAATTTATATCGTCTCCATTCCTAGTGATAGGAATGCTGCCCCAGCTAGAGAAAAAAGAGGACTAACACTCGCTATCATTTCGGTCTGCCAGAGGATTTGGCATTATTACACCCTTAACTTGTTCCAACTGTGATTGCATAGGATCACATCACTTATAGGTAAACGCATCGAGCTTTAGAGAATTTGAGGGGCGTGTACCATTACTTAGGCTTAAGATTCTTGTGAAAAACTGCCTTGTCCTGATATAAAAGGAGCTAGAGCACCTCCTACAATACAAGTAACTAATGTAACATGGGATTTTTTTGCAGCTTTGCCGATTGAGTAATGGGTCTTGAGTTCATTCTGTTCTGCGTTCCCTTCACCCTGGTAATCACAGACACCTTTAGGAGGACTCTGACAAGCCAGTGACAACCTCTCGTGGGTGGTAGATTGACAATTTTTACATTTTTTTCCCCCTTCACTTGAGATGTGACAAATCATATTCAAGGAGAGAACCTGTGCAGCAATTCTGCTGATTTGTGTAACTATTAGATCAGTTGAAGTCCCTCAGTTGATTTCTGTCCCCTGCTGCAACCATCCTTCAGGGACAGAGAAACTATCCGGGGGCAGGTTCTTCAACATAAAAGCCTGTCTCCGATTTCTGAAATTACCTGTACTGTGCATGTCCAGATCCTAATGATCTGGACACTTAGTGATATTCAACATTGAAACTGAGAGTGGAAGAGATACCAGCCCTGATCTTTTCACGTGTATTTTTTGTTTTCTGGTGTTCTATTAAATAGCTAGACTTTCTCCTACTTGCTTGTTCTCTACTGCCTTAGTAGCGGTGAGAACCCACCTTGCACCACGTCTTTGCTTTACTGACTGCTTTAGGTTCTTGTGCTTTTGGGAGCTCAGATTCTTGGATTCACATGGTTACTGGGCTGATGTAAGTTTTCTTTCCAGCAGTTATTTTTTTTAAAAGAATGATGGATCATATAAATTGCTCAGATGACAAGCCTCCCCTCTTTAAGTAAACCATTTCCCAGGCTTACCTCCAGTTAGGAGATGGCCCCCTTTTCCTGTGCCAAAAAAACCCCAAAACCAAAACCCAATGAAACAAAAAAGAGCAAGGCCCTTCATGTTTTCTTTGTGTTCTGAGAACCATTGAATCCTAGTACACCAACATGTATCTTATTTCTTTGAACTGAGTAAACATAACTGAAGAGAACTGCTTGCTCAGGCAGTGAGAAGTTGGTGACAAAATTGACATGCCAGAGATTTGGTGTACTACACACTTAAATTATGATTTCAACTAAGTCTAATAGAGATTTTAAAAATTAGTCTTTTCCCAGTTATAACAACACTCTGATCTCACATTTCATAATGAAGTTAACTTTCACATTCTTGAAGAAACAGAGTAGCAATGCACGCTGCCAATGCATACTGTGTTTTTCAGAGGCCCTGCAAAGTATGAAGTACCACAAGAGTTCACCTGTAAAAATTAAATTAGTGTCCTGGTTTGAGGTAAAACAGAACCAGTTTTGGTCAGTAACTTCGCTTCTTAGCTGGGCCTCTCTAACAACTGAAATTAACAGCATATTGTGCAGACAATGTTCACTCTCTCAGGGTGATAAGACCTATGTTTATAGCTGATGCCCAGCCATGGTATGCAGAGAGGACCTTGCTTATACTTATTGCTATAACAACCAAGGCCAACCAACTTTGTTATTTGCCCCGTTGGAGGGTCGGAAGCGGAAAAGCATAGTGGGGTCCCACCTGCAAGGAGGAGCGAACAGGACAGGTGACCCAAAACTGACCAACGAGGGTATTCCATCCCATCTGCCTCATGCTCAGTATAAAGGCTGAGGGATCGAAAGGTCAGCTCTCTCTCTTCCTGCAATGGCCGACGTCTGAGGAGGACTCTGTTCATCTGCCTGCGATCCCGATCCTGAATGCAGATCCAGAATCCCGTTCCCATCCGTCACTGAGTCCAGCCTGGGACTGCCCCAGTGCCAGTCGGTGTCGTGATTGTCATCTCGGGAGCTTGATAGGGTTTTGTATATATTTCATTATTTCTTTTTTATTTTATTATTAATATTTCATTAAAGTAGTTTAGTTCCTTCTAAACTCATAAGTCTCTTTTTCCTCCTCTGCCCCTCTCTCTGAAGAGGGGTAGAGGAGAGCATCTGTCGGTCCCATCTGGGGTCCTCCAGGTCCCCAGTAGCCGATTTGGCCTAAACCATGACAATTAGCCACACAAACTCACGTTTAATATTTCTGTATATAGGCATTTTGTTACCTTTTTTGCAACTTAGGAGAGTGCAGTAGGTGCCTTATACTGCTCAGAGTATTCAGACTTCAGAAGATATAATTTAGTTGTTTAGAGTGTTTTCTCATGGGGTGAAATAAGGGAGAATATGATAGCAAAGAGTTCAAATAGCTTGATGTATTTACACAGATGTACAGTAATACCTGAAAATAAACACATCTGTCCAATTTTTAGAATTTTCATTGTATTCTATTTCAGAAGTTGCATGCAAACTAGAAACATTTCTCACAAATGTTAATAATGGAAAAACATAAAATGCTTTTGTTTCATCTTGAGCAACAAAACCGGATTGGAATTTCATTTTCAGGCTGACCCGTAATAGTAAAATCTTACAATTTTGCATCACTGTAAATACATATTTCTATTGTGACTTTAAATTACATATGTAAATGTAGTCTTAAGTTCAGAAATGTTTGCTTTAAGAAAATGTAAAATACAGGCCAAATCTGATATGCCTACAACTCCATAGCTTATTTCCTTTTTTAATCTCTTTGCCCAGGATAGAACTTTCTAATGGAAGAAGTTTGGAGCAGTAAAGTGCTGACTTGTTTTTTTCTCAGTTCATCCTCTACCAGCTTGATTATTATTATTTTTTTTTTCTTCGAACAGTCTCATCTTTTTCTCTCCAGTGCAAACCATAATTCTGTAGGTAGCTTTTGAGTACTGTTCTTCTGGCTTCTCCTGTTGATTTCATTCGAGGCTAGATTTTTGCCAGAGTGTTATACTAAATTTATTGAATAATTCCAGCAAGGAATGTAAAAGCACAAGGCTGTTAAACTGGTGTCTTTTTCTGATACAGGCTGTGGCTTGCCCTTACTTTTTGGTGCTTAAACTGTCTTCTTGCTTCTGAATCTCATACTTACTATACTTTTGATATATAGCACTTTGCCTTTAAAATTATATTTATATAAAACGATAGTTTCTAAAGTGATCACTTTCCTAGTATGATTACTCCTGATGTAATCTGTATTAAAAACAGCAGGATTTTTTTTATTTATTTTGGGTCACACTATGAATGATTCCCACATGAATGAATGGTGTGTGCTGGGGCATTGCTCTCCCACACCACCTACTCTTCTGTTTGTATCTCCTGTGTTGCAGTCAAAGCATGAGGTAAACTCCCACTTTCCTTCCTCTTAGTATCACTCCCCATCACCCTTCTCCATCAAAAAGTATGCAACAAATGACAGGGAGAAAATTGAATTTGGGTTATTTCTTTGTTTCCTGGTGGCCTGCTGTCTGCAGACAAGAGCCCTTGCAGCTCTCCTTGTAGGGGGAGGAGAAGAGGGAGCAGAGAGGATTAAAAAACCCTTCTGTGTGTCAGGAGTTCTAGCAACTCATTTCAGGATGAGGTGGTTTAGCTCAACCCAAAGGAGAGTTTGTTTTAGTGTAATTTTTGCCTCTTTTGATAATGTGATATAAATTTCCATTGCTGAACACTGCAAAAGTTGGTCAAACCTTGTAAAAACTGTAGCTAACACTGAAGTCGAGACACTTAAGATCCTCCTGGGATCTTAATACGTCATGTGAAACAGTGATAACAACTGGAAAAATTCTTTTTTTTAAATTTTTTTTTATTCAGAGGTGAGACATGGAAAGATCAAAGTCTTTCCAGGCTGAAACTAATTCTTATTTAATGCTATCATATTTGGCTACATGGAACACTGGGTCAGGAACAGCTGAATCAATAATCAGTCTAGCAAGACCTATCATTATATTTTGCTTTGCTTTAGTGCTCTCCAATGCAATTAAATAGCAAATGTGAAGATGGGCAAACAGTATTTAGAATAGAATACAATTTGTTGCCATTTTGTCTTTCACAGGTTTAGATATTCCAGTACAAACACTTGCAGGATTTTGCTGAGATTGTCGATAGTGGTTTTGTCAAGGTTTTCTTCTGTGTCCTCCATGGTATGCCATACTGCAGGAAAAGGGGATGGAATCAGATGTAGGACTGGAACTCCTATAAGGAGAAAAGTGAAATTTGGAGAAGAAATATTGGAGAATTTCTGTTAAGCTAATTGAGGTGTCACCATTTAATAATAGAGTCAGGTAACTACTCAATAAGCTGACTTTATAGAGGAGTATGTATCACTGCAGCTTCCTTTTACTTTCTTGTTTTTTGAAGCCTGTGACTGCAGCCCATCCATTTCATTGTGTGTTTCCTAAAATTGGCACCTTCCTTTTCTTTGAGTACTTTCCCTCCCCCCTTTTTTAAGGCACTTGTAGCTAGTATTTTTACTGTAATACTTGCTTTTTTTTTTTTTTTTTTTTTTTTGAGATCCTTTGCATTGTAGTTGTTGATACCATGGTTAGGAGCTACAGAAGGGCAGGGAAACCACTGCAGCTCCCCAAACTGAAAACTGATTGCTATGTTCTTGTGACGGTGTTAAGATTGAGTATTTTTTGAAGCACTTTTTAGTCCTCTCCATAAATGGTAAAAAAGGGTGTCTGTATTTCCACTCTGTAAAATAGAACCACTATTATCCTCAGATAAAAGAACTTCCACTTGAAAGGATCTGCATATATGTATATATATACACACATCATGCCACTTACACATACTCCAACTTTCAGGTAAAAGAGGAGTTAAATCAGTCTTCTGCTTCCTGATTGCTTTTTGGGGGGAGCGTTGTTTCTCTCCAGCCTCTTTCCTGTTTTACTGCTTTTCCTCTCTCATTTTTCAGCTGTATACCACTAAGGAATCTGTTTTCTTCACTAGGTGTTAATCGTGTTATTAGAAAAGTTTTTGAGGTGTAGTCATTTTTTTCCCCCCTATCGACTTCTCCCATGTAGGATTTCTGATATCCCTGGACATGCATATGATGGCTGTGTTGGTTTTGTTGGACCTGGGCCCTGCCTTGGTGTGAAAAATGAAAGATTCACGGAGTTGAAGAGCCATTGAGCAGGAGACAGTAACAATAGCTCAGTGAAGAGAGCGCTTGCTTTATAGCATTCTTGTAGCTGCTTCCAGAGCTGGGTGTGCATTTTATAGTACTTGGTAGTTAACACAGCACAAGCAATGGTAAAATTAGGGGCTGGGTATGAAGATACCTCCCTCCTTTCCTAGGTAGATACCCTCTTCATTGAACTAGTCTTACATTCCTTTTTGGTAAACCCTTCTCTAGCAATATCACTCCTGTAGTCCTTGCTGTACAGTGGAAAACTGTGATCAGAAGAGTTTACTATATCTACTACCCTTCTTTGGCCCACCTTAGTTTTGAAGATGCTCCACTGAATGCTTGAACTGAGGACATCAAATCCATATCTTGAACTTGGACAAGTGCTTTAATCACTGACCTGTAGCTTGATAAGGTGGCAGCAGTAGTACAACTGCTTTCCCTTTCTTCGATTACATCCCAAAGGAAAAGAATGAACACAGTGTCAGAGGCTATGGTGTAGGTGTCTGCCAGGAGAAGTGCTTAGTAAGGGAATCCCACTTTCAGGTATGTGCCTCATTCCAGGAGGGATCTCAGGCATATTGTGTCCTTTGCTATTTCTGCTGGCTGCTCTGTGCACCTTTCCCACCCCTCAAGCTGACAGCTGTGAAATCTCCATTCTCTTTTGGGAATGAGGATATCTAATTGGAGTGTGTGAGTTTTTGCAGGAGTTAGTACCTTCAAATTTAAACAGGTAATAGTGAACATTACCATAATTTTGATAACAGATCTTTAGAGATTTTTGTAGCCTTTGAAGATAGGACCTTTGAGTGTTTCACTGCTCCTAGAAACAATAACTAGCTGGCTAGTGTGGTGTGTAGTGAGAACCCACTGGATCAGAGTTATCTTTGTAGGACACTACTGCTGACAGAAACTTCCATTATCTCTGCGCCATTGGAGCTGTTCTCATGCAAAATAATGATGGGTATGCTTATTTTTGCTTATTTATGGGTATGTTTTTCAAAGCTGTGACTCTTGGCCTGGGTAAAGTTAGATTTGGAAGCCTCAAGTTGGGGCAAATAAGCTTGAAAAACAGGATCATATGCACTTGCTTATCCACTAAATGATGCGTTTGTTGCTGAACTTACACTTTAAAATATAAGAGCTTCCAGTACCTCTTAATAAAAATGGAACATGGTCATCTTCAACCAAGCCTCGGTGTAAAGTGGTCTGGAAATACTGCCTTTCAACATGGTGATTCTTCAACAGATTCATGTTGTGTAGCTCTTGCTCTGTAATTCACAATGAAAGTGATTATTACAACCTTTGGACAATATGAGGCATGTTAGCCCATTTGAATTATTTTTCCTCTCACTTGGAAGCTTTTTCCATCAAAGAAGAAAAAGGAGTTGATGACTGTCTTTTGCATTTGTTTAGTACTTAGAAGACCTCAAGGTGGGGGATAAGGCTTGACAAGGCCTGCAGCTGGGTCAGTCTCCATATCCATATCTCAGCTGCGAGACGAAGGGATTAGAGCTACACCATGGAGAAGGAAAAGCCAGATCTGAGCCGGCAATGCGTGTTGGTAGCCTAGAAATCCAGCCGGATCCCAGGTGGCATTACTGGCTGGGCGAGAGGGGGGATTCTGCACCTCTGCTCTGGTGAGACACCCCACCCTGGAGACCTGCATTTGGACGTGGTAGTTAGGTTTACGGTTGGACTCAATGATCTCAGAGGTCTTTTCCAACCTAAATTATTCTGTGATTCTATGATTGGTGCTATTACCATCGCTTTACAGAAGCGAGAACTAAAACACAGAAGTGAAGCAGTTCCTGAGTCACAGAGTGGCAGTCAGTAATAGAATCTGTTTTATGGCTTCCAAGTGTCACGGAATCTTCCTCAGCTATTTCATTAATTACATATTAAAATCTTCATATAGGTTTAAGATGTACCAAATTTAACTTTCACATTATTAAATATTATAACTGTAAAACAGAAAAGTAATCTAAAAATCTGATTTACATTACTTAATACATTCAGAAATGACACTAAATTTTCAGATTCCTCAAAAGCCCATACCCTTCTCCTTACCAATTGCTTGAAGCCTCCGAAACCATCGCATAGTGTTTGGAAAATAATTGGGAAAGACTGGGTTTGGTGCACCAATTAAATCCAGTAATACAAGCAGGTCCTACAGAAGAAAGAATCTTTAGTACAGATTTCTTTATACCATCTACACCATCATCAGCAACAGCAGCAGCAATAATGAAACATCTTGGTTCTTATATAGGTTGTGACTAGGTCTTTGATAGCTCTGGCCAAAGATCTGGCTTTTCTACCATAGTGCCTGAGAAGAACTCATTAGCAGAACCCAATTCCAATCAGATTATTTTTTCTGTCTTTCTGAGGAGGAAAAAGGTAGACCATTTCTCTGTTCCTAGAGCTGAAGCAGACTGCATTGCTTTGCAGTTCGTGTGTTATATCCCTTTAAAAGAAAAACTATGGTAGGTGGGGAGAAAGAAGAGGAAATTGCTTCTTCCCTGGAGAACAACAAAGTCTGTCAAGGGAAAGACATTTTATGAGTCACAAGATACGGTGACAGAGGAAAAGTGTCTCAGCAGTGAGTAGGGAAACTAGAAGGCAGGCGGGAGAAGGGAGCAGACAACCAGAATGTTAGTAAGAATCAAAGGAAAACAGAGAGCTTGCTGTAGCTTAGTGCTGAGCTAGGGGAGATTTGTTCATAGACACGTCCAAGCTCTTTCCTAATGAGTTTGAATGATCTCTTTTGAAGAAGGTGGGTATCCTAGTTTATGTTCTAATAAATTGGTGTATTTTGATTTTTCTATGACTCCTCCTCATACTTGCATGGAGAAGGTCTAAGCAGGTTCACCTGAAAAGCTCTTACCAACTCTATTTTACTATATCTTATATAATTCCACAAGCCTGCTTCTTCCTTTAAATTTGGTGGGGTTCATGGTTTCTTGGGAATTTGGCCAATTACTTATTCATTAAATATTAAAAAAATGCAATTTACCATTACTCATTAGGGAGGTGAAAGCCACTTACTATGCCCTGCAGCTGATTTGTGGTTGTTGAACCAGGTGGATGTGGAGTAGATACCATTTTTTGAGCTAAGTGTTGAGATCCATAGAGGGAGTCGGAAGGGGACCACCGCACAAAGGCTTCTTCACCATCAAAAAAAATGAGCTGAAGTGAAAGGTCTGGTCTTGACGTTGAGCTGGTCTGTTGGAGGAAGTTAAAAGTAACATAACTGATTCTGGCCAGAACATTAAATAAAGGACAAATACTGTAGTCATACAAGCAACGTCAGCAGGGGTGTATTTCCAAGGTACTCTATGCAAACCTTCCTATGGCTGTTAAACACAGGTTATGATGCAATAGTGGTAACAATCAGTCATTATTATTTATGTAGCACACTGACACATTCTCCAGTCTGGTATCCTTTTGGTTCTGGTTAAAAGTTTAATTTCTGACTTTAGTGGATACAAGCTGAGTATGTTGAGGCAAGTCTGCAAAACCAGGCAGCAGAAACATCATCTCAAATAATGAGGAGACATGTCAGCAACAATACCTGATCTGAGTGCTAATATTATGTGATAGTGCCACAGAGGGGTAATATCTCTGCTACAGTTGTACATCAGTGGAGGTGAATTATGTATTTTAAAGCTGATGGTTTTTTGAAGGACAAAGAGCAGTCACTCATGAGAAGAACGGCCATTTACTTTCCTTCAGGGGGACTCACAACCACCCAGGCAACTTTACCCTAAAACCAAAGCACAGAGAGTGGACTAGATATTCTCTCTCCTTTCAACAACCAAAAATCACAGCAGTAAAAACTGAGACTACATATGATTAATGTATTTAAGGTCACAAAGGAGGCATCTGTGTGAAATTTTTCCCCAATGTAGGAGGAGCCCTTTTTCTTTCTCTGTTTACTAACTGAAGCCTTGTTTGCGCTGGCAGCATTTCCTAATAATTTACAACATGGCTAAACCCAGTTCGGCTCTGCTATATGAACAGTTTTGGGATCTCTAGTCTTGGAAGTCGCCATAAATAATTTAACCCCTCCATGAATTAATGTTACTTCAAGTGAAATTGCATGCTGTGCTTAAAAAGGTGGGGTCACTGGCAACAGTTGTGTCCTGTATGGGCTACAACTCCCAACGAGCTGGAGCTGATCCAGTCTAAACAGTAGTGGGAAAACTTCTATAAAATGTCGCTCACGTAGGCAAGATGATATTGATTATGCTCACAATGATATATGGATTTTTCTAATGGCAATGCTTTTCTGCCCTTTGTCCTTTGCACAGGACAGAGCTCTTTTGACGGCAGTCATTTTGCATTACATTCTGGAGGAAACTGTATTAACGCCATTTGAATTTTAGAAAGTAATATTTGTAATTATTATTATTATTACTACTGTTTAACAAATTACCAGGTCTGAATAATGTAGAGATGTCTTTCCCCTTTAATTTTAAACTTACTCTATATAACCGGAGAAACATCAAGATAAAAATCACAGCGTCAAGTCAAAGTATAAATAGATTTGGCTGAAAACATAACAAAGTCTGTTATGCTACTATGAGCAGAGCAAAAAGGTCATAGCTAATGTATTAAGCAGATGGATCCCAAAGTGTATTTTGTTAACAGACTGTACAAATGGTAGCCTGTGCAAAGAAATTAGACTGCCTTTTTGTCAAATGCTGTCATCTTACATGATAAAACCATTTAATCAAAAAATGATGTATTACTAGCGAAAAATTCCAGTCTTTAAGTCAGTGTGAAGGTTGTTCCATAAATAACCATTAGGCAAACTTATTCTAAATGAAGCTTCTAGATGAAAGCATCTGTATTACTGGAGGGCTTTTTTTTGTGACTAAAAACATTGACATAATCTTAATCTTCTAATTCTTAAATAATGTAATGTCAGAGGGCACCAAATCAGTTTCTGGAAACAACTGTGGACAAGCAATCTTAATACCTGAGCTGAGTTTATTCCCTACACTTTGTAAAGCATTTGAGACCTTTTCCTGTTAAAGCTCTGTTAGAGGATTCTTCTGTAAATAGGAAATACTGAACCAGTAGATGGCACTCATGAATCTGTAATCCTACAAGCTTTTAGAGCTAGTAGTATCAAGATTTTTGTGCCTAGCGAGGGCAGCACTTTGAAGCAGATTTTCATAGCATAGATAACAGACTGATAATATTATACTATTACTTGACTGTTTTCCTGTACACAGCCATCTCTTGTTTCATAAATAAACTATTCAAATTGATCAAGGAAAACATGAGAAGCTTGAAATCATTATGGGATGGAGGGATGTGAGTGTCACTCTCCTGCACAGCAATTAGTTCATCCATTTCCCGAAACAGTACAAGTGAGAGGTTTTAAAAAGGCAAGATTCAGAAAGCAACAAAACTTTTTCAATGACCCTAGATGTTACTGGATACGATAGGAGCTTCTGAGTAGGGTTCTGTGCCTTTTAAATAGAAAGTAGGAATATATTTTGTAAAAAGTAGAAATATATTTTTCTGAGTCTATGAAACATGTATTATTCATGCATAAATTGTTATCTTTATATAGTATATACTCATTAGATAATTTTTAGATAGCCACCCTTTGCATAAGAAGTTTTAATGTGATAATGTACTCTAAAGTAGTAGATACAGATCTCTCTTTTCTTCGTGAAGTCAATGGGAGTTTTACTATAGGCACAGCGATCAGAGAATCGGACACGCAGGCTGTGGGAGAGAACATGGAAGTGCCCTGAGGCCTATTGCTATCGCAAAAACAAAACGAAACAAGCAAACTACCTTGATTAACTGAAGCCTGTTATCCAGGGCACGTGCCAGCTCCAGTATCATAGCACAAGGCACAGCTGAATCAGTTGCTCCTACAAACACTCTCTCCTGCCATTGTTGTCCAAAGAATTTTGAGTCATAGTGGCAAGCAAGTACTAGATGGCGTTTTGCAGAGGGGTTGAGAGTGCTGATAATATTTGAAAATGTTTGATATCCATATGGTGTGTATCTCTGAAATGTGTCTTCTTCAATTTCCCAGCCAGCCTGTAGTCTTTGAAGACGGTGCTTGATGTGCTGCAATTAAAAAAAACCACGACAGATTAATATTGCTTCCTTCAAAAAGATGTTGCAGACAAACTGTCATTAGCTAATTAGTAGTGGCCCTTAAGCTTATTTCTGTAAGTTCAGGGTATTTTTAAAGGATAAATTTTATAGCAAAAAATGTAATGTCATATATAAAGTGAGCAACATCTTTGCTCCCTTAGCATCTCACTGGCTTGCTTGCTTTTCATTTCTCCCTTTTGCCTCTTGTCTTTGGAGTCTGAGGGTACTTTGAATGATTGCCCATTAATATGACACATTAAGATCTTGCTCTCTGAATTTTCCAGGCCACTGTTTTTCTCAGGTGTAACCAGGACACATTTAATGTTTACCTCTTCAAATGTGAGCTCAGCTGCATCATTAAATTAAACGTCAAAACTGGCTGCAGAGAACTTGTGGCTATTTTGACAATTATCACATGTAGATGCCACAGCAGTATAAAAAAAAAAAAAGCTGTTTGTTTTTTTTCAACTTCTATGAGAAATCTGCCTTTCGAGTGGCAGAAGTTTTTTACAAGGCTGTAAGAGACAGTCTGATTCCTTTAAATTGAAGTATGAATTAAACATTTCGGAATAATCTTTTAAAAATGAACTCTGGTAAGCGTAGTTAATGTAAAGATAAAAATGAATAACTGTAGCTATATAAAAGAGATCCTTCATTTTCGGTAACTTTCTCCCTAAAGAGAATACCTCTAACAACAGCAGTTATACGTAGTACAGAGTTCTGGCTAACTCTTATTAGAGAGCCATCTCTGTTGAGCAACTTATTTTTATGGGTCCCTAGAGTGCTTCTTCAAGGCAGATTCCTCTCTTTAAGTAAACATTAGGAAAAGCCTCTAAGGGGAAAAAAGAAAACACTTTGAAGACTTGTCTTGCTCTTAGTGAAGTCAGTGGGAATATTGCCGTTAATTTTAGTGCTGGAAAAAACTTCCATTTTCTTTGTGGTCACCCTCTGAAAGCTTTTATGACATCGTATGGTCTGTCTGCTATCTGTAGGCTGAACAAAGGTTGTCTGTTACGGATTAAGTGGAATATATAAGCCTGGATGGAGTTCCCAGTGTGCAGTATTTGTGACTGTCACTAGCTTTCTCCCTTGAAGGACCGTGATGTATTTTCTGTGTCTTTCCAAAGAAATGTCATCCATTTCAAACTCCATTGTGCTTTGACTATGGAGGACTCTTTTTTTTCCTTTGGTGGGTGTCTACTTTAGTACATGCTGTTACCTTGTAACAGAATGATCCTGTTTTGAATATGATTTGTGGTTTTGTAACCTAGGCTCAGCTGTTTTTTTCTTTTTCTCATTCTTTCCCCTTTCATTTCTCTGTCTTCCAGGGTACGACTAAAGAACCACAGAACTAAATCAATGGAGACACATGTGCGCACCCGCACACACAAAGCATAGAAAAGCTGCGTTTTTCCAGTCTACCAATTGCAGAGTGGCAAATAAACTTACTGTAGTTAGGGTAATCTTGGAGCTGTTGAGTCACTGCTTAAAAGGTAGATGAAGGCTAGCGCTATACTTAAACCAGTGCTGTGCTTTGTCATGTCAACCATCTAGGCTGCCTGCCAGATTGGGCCCCTCCGATCCCTTTTCGTGTTGATACACCCATCTGAGGCAACACTACAGGGGAGCGCATCAGCACAGGACCTCTCCAGGAAAAGGGGGGAGTGGGGAGAGTGTCATTTATTTCATCCCCGCATAGGGTCCCAGGGGGTTTGAACCAGTGGCCAAAAGCCTGCGCATGTGAGGAAACGGACCATTGTTGTATTGTACTTTGGGTACCAAACCTGAGGCAAGCGTTTGAATTTTAAAAATAAATTTTAATATGGATTTTTTTTTTTCTATCGTGCTGTGCAGCCCTGGAAAATAATGTCAGCTGAAGCGCAAGCTGTGTCATGTAGGCTCTACGCAGTCTAGATGTGAACAATGATAGATTTCATCCTACCAAATGAAATGAAAGGAATGTGTCTGTCCCTTTAGTGGTCACTAAAGGCGCTACCAGAATATAAATAATAGATGTTCTTAGAGGTTTTCAGGAAATGTTGTCTTACCTGTCGTACGACATAATTTCCTGGTGATCCTGAGTATCTTTCTATCAGGATAGGGCGCAAATCATTCTCCCACATTTCAGAAACATCTGTGTTTGCTGCAACTTTTTGAATAGCATCTGAATGTAAAATTCTTGGTTGGTGAGAATACTGTAGAAAGGAGAAAAATTGAAAGATTGCTATAGCTGTAACTATTACTAGACCTTTTTAACCATAGTTTTCTTCAGAATTACAGTAAATGTGATATATTGTGTTATTTTGATTTACTCACAACAAAAACTAATCTTAAGAAAAGCTTTTTCCTCAAAAAGTATTGATGTTTTAAAGTTCTGTGGTTTCTGTATCTTTGATTTCCACGAAAAATGCACTAGTATTAAAAACATGGGAGAAATTATTACCTACCAGACGTAAAATCTCAACCCATGATTGGATTCTCTCTTTTCTACTATCTTAATTTGACATACATAGTCATGTCTGCAACTGTGCCACCTTCAAATGAAGTTTCCATTAGGACAAACACCAGAAGCTTTGTTTTTAGCAGTAATATTTAGCTTTGTGCTGTGCCTACATTATGAGATGTAGTACTGCAAAGAAAAGCGTGAGCTAGCTCAGTCCCAGAAAGAGTGAAGCTGCCGTTGTGGCCTCTGGTCACAGTGGTATAATTGGTGAGACTACACGGCATAGTGCAGCTCACCTGGGGCTAGCTGGGGTATACATCAGCGTTGTGACACGTGGGTTAACCTCAGAAGTGGCAGCTTGTCTCCTGTGACAACAGCTAGTAGTGCTAGCTACCTCCCCCGTGGCTTCTTTTCTGTTGTTTAAGCACAGACCTTTAGAGCTATTTGAGATGAATACTTGGGACATCTCATAGGGCTGGCAAATATGTCAAAGATGCACCAGAGCCTTGCGCAGTTCTGGAGCGGTAGCTGAATGCCAGGCAGGATCCCCAAGGACATCTCAAAAGCCCCTTTGGGCACCTGATTTGAACCTGCCCACTTTGTAGCAATTGTCTTCTCAGGAACTTCCTGAGTCACTCCTGGTTTTATAGATTCCTAATTTAGGCACTATCATAGGTAGGATGCTCCTGTCATATCCATTCCTGATTTCTATCATAGAGGCTTCCCTCTGCTCCTTTTTCCCACTGAAAAATCCTGGTCTGTTTATTTGTTCTTTGATCAGAACTGCCTTACGTGACTGATCAGGTTTGCTGTCCTTCAGTGTTCCCTGTCTACCTCAGCCTTTTTGAGATGAGGAAAGGGAGGGAAAGTGCGACATGAGTGCACCATAGCTTATAGTGTAGGATAATGGTATTTTCTATTTTATTTGTTTCCTTTCTTAAAACTGTTTAACAACTGAGTTGCTTTTGGGCTGCTGTTGCATCAAACTGACATTTTCACAGATGTATTTATTCTAACTCCATCATTGCATATGTTAACAAAAAATAAAACTAACATTCTTTTCCCTTCCTTTCCCGCTCACTCATGTGCGTCACTTCACATTTGTCTGAAATGACTGCTGAAATTCATTACCTGGCCAGAAAGTGTACTGATCTAGAGATCTTCTGCAGTCCTGTATAATGACCTGTTATCTTAGTTACCCTGACTGACAAATACTGTTAAAAAATGGGTTTTGCCTCACTATTTGTCGTCTTTTCTGCTTCATTTATGTGTATGCTGAGCAAAGCAGGCACAAGCACAAATATTTTCTAGACTTCACTATAAACATTAATTCTACCCTTCTCTCTATTCCTAGAGTTTTATCTATATGTGGACCTTCCCTCTAATTCCACTTCAGCTTACTTAGTGAAATTAAGTAGAGGGGAGACACAAAGACACTGAATCCTAAGATGCCGATTTTAATAAAGAGTTTATGTTTAAAGCTGAATTTTCAGACTATAAAGACATGAAATTTTGGGTTGTGCAATTAACATTTTTAATGCTAGCAAATTTAGACGTGAGTTAAGGAAAAAATCGTGTATTTTAGAAGAAGAACTTTTACAACTTTGGAAATTATATTGTAGAAGATGCATAAAATGTCTTTTGAAAGACTAAATGTTTAATATGGTGGAATTTACACCAATGTAGAAAAGGCGCAGACAAGAGAAAATGTTGTCAGGGAGCTGTTCTGTTTAGGAGAAATAGGCTGTAAGAGCAAAGTCCAAAGCTATGCACTTCAGAAGACTGTGGGAGGACAATTTAATTAAGGAAGTTCAGAAAATATGCCTTCAGTTGAACAAGTGAAGGGCTCAATTAGAACATAGAATCGTCTTGCTTCTAATGTAGAGCATGCCTGGTAATTGTGGTCATTCAATCACTCTGCAAAGAAACATTATTATTATTGAAGTACAAATGTATGAAAACACTTCAGAAGAGAGGAATAAATTCCCATTTCTAATAATAGAGATAACTTTAAATTTGGGAAGTGAAAGGAATTGCAAAAGCAGTCATGAAATAAAAGAGAAGTAGAATGAGATCTGTAGGTGATTCAGCCCTTACAGTGTTGGTCAATCTCTATTTCCTCCATGGCCACAGCAGGGAGGCAGAACAATGTATTTATGACAGGGCTACCACTAAACCTTTTGTACCAATCTGCATAAAACTGCAAGACTTCAACTTCTACAAGTAGCCCACGCTTACCTTGCTTTTGGTATATTTCAGCTCGGTGCCAATGGAAGTTAGCTTCCAAGAACTCTTAAGTTTAGGACCTGATTCCTCCTCCTCCTCCATGAGAGAAGGAGGGAAAGTCTGTACTCTGTCAGACTTTCAACTTCTGGCTCACACATCCCTTTAGGGAGAAGGAACAAAAGTTGTCAAGGGACAAGAATTTGATGAGGAAGAGGAAGTGGTTCTTGGTTAGTGTCTGCAGGGGCAGAGGAGTTTAGATGCTACGGTTCTGCGGTTAGATGCTACTTACATCATTGGCAAGTAGATTGACTAGCTGGAATGGAATGAGGTAATGAGTGTATTGGTGTGCTCAAGGGCACTGAAAAAAGGAGCACTGGGGCTACACACTTGTACGTTGACTAGTATGACTAAAGATGTAGCCTCACATGTTCTTACATATCTATTATATATGTACATACACATGTATTATGCATACTATAAATGGATTATGTTACAGATATATAGTCTATACGTGAGATATATATAGTAAGATACAACTAATAGAACAGAATGACAAAGTTCTCTTTTTAAAAATAACCAAAAAACAACACAAAACCAACACTTATCTGAATGGGGAGTGAATAAAATCAAGAAGAAAGGGAATGACGAGGGGAAGTGAGTGGAAATGTATGAGGGAAGCTTCATGTTCTGCATTTGTCCTGGACTCTGATCGATTGGTGAAGAGAACGGTGCACTTGGGTTAGTGGAGTTCAGTCAGTTCTGGCTGAACTTTGAGTTCAGCTCTTCTACAAACACCTGGGGGTGGGCCCTAGAAGTATATTTTCCATTTGGAAATCCCTGAACCCTTTAATTGAATGTAATTTGCAGTTGTATGCTCTTCCATGTTTCATGTGGTTTAGTTCTTCACAAAGGAACTATGTTAGTGTTTCATAATTGACCACGAAGAGCTGTAACACAGATAAATCAGGGGTTTACTGCTCATTGCTGTTTCATTAAATGTTATCTCGAGACTGCTTTTTTCACTAGTTCACACCACATTTTGAATTAAAAACAATGTATTATGGTTCTGCAACATATTAGAATATTATATCCTTTCAAAACAATTTTGCAGTAGCTATCAACACCATCCCTACTTGTTTTTTCTAGCTGAATGCGCATCACTGCTGGAAGAACTATTTGTTTTCTCAAACTCAAGTCACCGTCCTCTGACTCACCACAATCATGTTGAAAACTGGAGTATAATAGAATGTTACATGGAATCGAGTTTCGGATTTTGATCCCTATTGTGCTGTTTGGGTTTCCTCTTAAATTCGCTAACTGTCCCTGACGAAGCTCATCGCTCTCGCTGCCCGTTCCCAGGCCGGGCGAAAGGCATCGCCGAGGCGACAAACGTGCGAAGAAGACTTGTCCTCTGCAGCCATTAGCTCGGGGTGGGAGGGAAGCCATGTTCTCCATCCTCACCTGCGCTCCCCGCGGACGGGGCCGGCCCGGCGGGGGCCGTGGGCAGTGACCCACGGCTGAGGTTCAGGTTGGCGCCCGAGGCGGGATCACACGAGGCCGTTACGAGGGTTCGCGGAGGGCGGGGACGGGCACGGGCACGTACCGCCGCCGGGCTGCTGGTCCCGGACTGCCGGCGGGGGGCGACCCCCTCCCCCCCGCCCAGGTGGCA